CATCGCTTTGCGGCGATCAGCAGCAGTCACCAATGAGCACCCCCGACCGAAACCGAGACCGAGAGAGCGCCCGTCAAGCAGTGGACGACGACGACCGGATCAACGAGTTGGTGATCGAGAGGGTAGCAGCGAGACTGGCCGAGATTATAAGGCAACAAGACGAGCAGTAGCAGAGGACAGATCACGTCCGGAGCGGGAACAACCACGAGACACTCCACCAGCAACATGCGGGGCGACCATCGGCCGGCCCGTCCGCAGACGACGTCGCCCGCACTCTCGCCGACGCCCTGACCAGCCGTCTTCAAATATCACCCGCAGACACGGGTAGAGTACCAAGTAGCGCAGCGACTCATAGGATGACTGAGGTTAAGTGCCTAGCGCCGTGGGATGGTATGTATAGGCAAGGAGAGGATGAACAGGCAAGGTTTTTGATTTTTCGATCGAACATGATTGCTATGTTTGCGCAAGAAGGAGTCAGGGAAGTGGTATTGAGTGACCACAGAATTCCAGTCGGGCTAGAAGGAGTAGACATGGAGAACTTGCGTAGGATGCACTCGCCTGATACGGTAGAAAGGCGATCACGGCGTGGAATTGATCATCACAACAATACCTACATGCCTGTCTTGACCCAGATTATCGCTGATGGTAGTCCCAGCGGGGGTTGGAAACTATTTCTAGCATATTACGAACCCCAGGCGAGAGCAGAAAAAACACGGTTGACTTCGGAATACCATGCCATAAAAATGCGAATGGGTGAAAGTCCGCAGGAATACTTTGGCAGATTTGCTGTTTTGCGCAGCAGGTTAGCCTCACACGGCGTCACATACCCCGACGATGATGCCAATTTGCACGTTGTGTACAAGTTGTCTTCCGAGTACAAAATGGAGAAAGCTATGCTGCGTGCCCTTCCGCCCCCCAATTTGACCCGTCAGCACTTTGAAAAGGTGGTGAAAGATGCCACATCAGGATATGGTGACCGCACGGGAGGGGGAGCCGCAGAATGGTGCGGGGCACGCTTTCGTCGCTGCCGGTGGGAACCGGGGCGACGGACGTGTCCAGTGGGAACGGCGGGGGTCAGGATGGCAATGGAGGCGGTCGGAGCAGCAACAACAGGGCGGACGGAGACAGGCCCTGCAACTAGCATCCGTACTCGTCGCACACCAACAAGGAGTGCTACACCCAGCGTCGGCAAGGGAAGAAGCAGGAGACCAAGCAGCAGCAGCCTCAGCAACAGCAGTAGCCTCAGCAACAGCAGCAGCCCCAACGACCGCAACAGCCCCCGCAACAGCAGCCGTCTCAGCAGCAACAGCAACCTCGGGGACCGCCGCCGCAGCAGCCGAGCCGCAGTGGGGGGGGCTGGGGGGGTGGGCCCCGGCACGGGCCTCACGGCGGCTACGGAGGACAGCAGCATCATGGACATCGAGTTCCCCCTCGTACACCGCAGCAGCAGCGTCGGCCCCCGTACGGGCATGCAAATGTAAGTCAACTGTATGGTGCCGCGCCCCATGAGGGCACCGCGTATGGTAACGAGTATGGGGGGTGGGAGCATCAGCCATAGTATCAGCAACCTTTGCCAGACTACAGCTTACAGGAGCAGCCGTATTACCCGCCTCCGACAATGTAGTACCAGCAGCAGCCTCCGCCACCGCCGCAGCCTCCGCCACCGCCGTCGTTCCAGCAGCAGCCGCAGCCGCAGCAGCACTCGACCCATGCCCCGTACCATTCGCCTCCTCCCGATGCAGCCGGATCCCCTGGGCATCTTCACTTCCTCAAGACAGGTTTTGTGAAACAAGGCGAGATCTTTCCAAGTGTGGTTGCGCGTGAGAATGGTAGTGGTTCCGCTTTGTCTGTGAAGAGTCGCCCTTCGCAGATTGGTAGAGAGCAATTTTGGGCCGACAGCGGCGCGAGCAACACGTTTGTCAGCAGTAGCGAAAACATGTTCGACATGAAGCCAATCCCAGCAGGAAAAGAGTTCATCCAAGTAGGGAATGGTGCCTATCTGCGCGTGCAATGTGTTGGTAGCATCAACGTGGCATTTCACATGCCTGGCTCTACGGGCGAGACCGATTTTTGCGTGCAGATGTCGGACGTGTACGTAGTTCCCGGCATCACGTTCAATCTGTTTTCTCTGCACCATACGCAGCGTAGGCAGAGAATTACGTTGGATGAAAATGGCGTGCGTCTATTCAATGGCCAGCTTTCCTTTGCCTCCTCCGATGTAGGATGTTCTCTTTGGGCCACTCGCTTGCCTCCCACGTGTACCGGTAGTGCTGTAACCCTCGGTCCCGATGCCCTCCCTCGTGTGCCTCCTCAAGCTCCCCCGCCTAGTGTTGGGACAGGCCTTGTTGTCGCGAACCCCCCTTTTCCCCCAAACATAGGAGGGGGCACACATGCGAGTACGAGCTTCCCGTCCACCGGTGGAGTCGCTGCCGGTGTTGTACCTTCGAGTTCGAGTGCGAATCCGAGCTTCCAGTCCGCCGGTGGTGCCGCTGCCGGTGTTGTACCTTCGAGTGCCAGTGCGAGTCCGAGCTTCCAGTCCGCCGGTGGAGTCGCTGCCGGTGTTGTACCTTCGAGTTCGAGTGCGAGTCCGAGCTTCCAGTCCGCCGGTGGTGCCACTGCCGGTGTTGTACCTTGGTCTGCGAGTGCATCTTCGAGCTTCCCATCCGCCACTTCCGGTGTAGTGCTTCCGCATTGTGCATTCCCGCCCATCGACGTAGATGTAGTGCCAACGACTATTGCCGACTACCAGCCTGTAATCACGGCTGCCGTAGCATCGTCTGAGATTGTTTCTCCCTCCGTCGTTGACCCGAGCGATTTTCGTTAAGTTGTGATCAACTCCCTCATCTCCCAGGACCATTTGCCTCTCATGGATATGAGCGTGTTCCTTGATGTAGGCCTGATGGATGGCATAGACTCGGTCCCACAGGGTGATTTTTTTCCGGAT